TCTATAGGCAAAAGGGTTAATTAAATTCCTTTTGGTCCATCCAAGCAGCCTATTTTTCTCTTGAACAAAGGTTTTGTTCTTTTGACAGGCCTTTTCTTTTGCATTACATTCACTTTTATAATGATCAGTCTTGCCACAGTGTGTGTAAATTTTATTTTTAGGAAGTGTGATGTATTTGCTTTTGGGATCCCATTTAGGTGTTGGGGTCCCATAGCCAAGTCCTCTCTTGTTTCTATTGTGGTGCTCTTGTAACCAGGATAGTGCATGAGAGGACTTATTCTATTTGTAAGTTCTATCTAGTTCATGCTTCACCTTGCCTAGATCTTCTTTTAGGACTCTTATCTGCTCATCTTTCTTGTACAACTCTTCCTTCATTTTTCCTAGATTTTCTTCTAAGGTGAGATGTGTATGATCAACTTTCTTCTTACATATTCCTAATTTCAGTTTTAAATTTTCAGACCTAAGTTCTAAGATACTAGTGTCAAGTTCAAGAACCTGCTCTTCAACTCAGCATTTTTACTATCACTTTCACTAGCCTTAAATTCCAAATTTTTGCACTTAGCTTTTAAGATCACACATACCCTAGACAGCTGTTCCTTCTCATTTTTTATGACCTTAGACTCATCAATGAAGTCTAGCAATAATTCAGATAGCCTTTCTTTAGACAGAAATTTAATTTTGTCTTTGAGATGAATAACACTTACCTTTTGCTCATCGTCTGATTCTCCAATGGTCATAAGTGCTTGTTCATCTCCAGCTTCATCTTCTGAATCCTCATATGAGGTTTCTCCCTAAGCAGCAACTATAGCCTTTGTTGATCCTTTGTTCCTTTTGGGTTGAATCTGTTATTTCTTCCTATTTCTTCGTGCAGCCCGTTCCTTCTTCCATTTAATTTTCCACTGGGGATAATTCTTGATCTTGTGGTCAGTCTTACCACATTTGTAGCAACCCTCGTTGGTTTGTTTTTCAAGAGCCCTTGGTTTGTTGAAGGTTTCACCTCTTGAGGAACCCTTTCCTCTCATCAGGTACTTTTTGAAATCCCTTGTGATCATAGCCATTTCATCATCCTCTAAGTCTGCACCTTCAGCTATTCTGAGAGCCATGCTTTTTTCCTTCTTGGGTGCATCCATCTTCATGGTTTGCCTTCTCAGTTCATAGGTAGTGAGATTTCCAATCAGCTCATCCAACTTTAGGGTAGCAATGTTCTTTGATTCCTGATAGCCGTGATTTTGCTTTCCCAAGTTACTGGCAAGACCCTTGTTAAGATTTTCTCAACCTTGTCTTCTTCGAGGATAATTTTTCCAAGAGATTTAAGTTCATTTGTTAGTGTTGTGAACCTTGTATACATCTCTTGGATGGTTTCTCCTTCCTTCATGGTGAAATTCTCATATTAAGAATATAGCAGTGTTCCTCTTGATCTCTTTACTTGAGGAGTTCCTTCATGGGCCACTTGTAGAGTGTCCCATATTTCCTTTACAGTGGTACAGCTTTGAATCCCGTTGTACTCATCTGGACCTAGTCCACACACAAGCCATTTCTTGGCCTTGTCATTCTTTTCCCATTTCTTCAAATCTTCAGTAGTATAGTCAGCTCTTGTTTTTGGCACGCCCACTCCTTCAGCATTCTTCTTTGTAGTAGCTTGGATCATCAGTAACCATGTCCCAGAGTTCATAGTTTTCTCCTATGATGTGGTCTCTCATCCTGTTCTTCCACCAGGAATAGTACTGACCATTAAAGAGTGGAGGCCTAACAGTGGATTGCCCTTCCCAGTTTCTAGGTGGTACATTTATCTTGATCTGTTCCTAAGGTGTTAGCCTCTTCAAGGATAACCTGCTCTGATACCAATTGATGTTTTAGACTTCAATACCACAAAAGAGGGGGGGGATGATTTATGTGGTACCCAATTTTTGCTTATCTTTATTATAGAAGGTCTTGGTTCTTCTATGTATTCCAACTACTACTATTGCAAAATAATAAATACAGAAAATAAAGAACACAGAGATTTTACGTGGAAAACACCTGGCTCAAAAGGTGAAATAACCACGACCTACCTTCCAGTAGGATTTTCCCAAACTCTTCACTAAAATCACTGAGCCAAAAACTGCATTTACAAAAACTCTTTTGTAAACCTAGGATTTAACTCTAATCTCGTTGTGGCACACAGCCTCAACTGTTGCAACAACTTCAAGTTAACTCTAACTTGAAAACTCTAAGTACCTAATACAATTGCTTCTATAAAAACTGAAAGGTACAATGTAAAATTACCTACTACAATTGAACTAGAGTAAAAGATAGACACTTGGAACTGGTTCTTCTATCTGGTTCAAGTAGCTTCAGGATTACACGCTTGAATCACGCATAAATTGCTTGCAAAATTGCCTTGCTATTTTGCTCTCAATTCACGTTTAACTTCTGCTTATGAAAGAGAACAACACTAATATTTAAGGGGTTAGTAATTAGAGATTGACTAGGATACAAATGCTACTCTTTCATGGTGGAAAAGTTCTAGTTGATCTCATACTCTAACTCTATCTTTTTCCTAAACTGTGTTCTCTTTGTGTAAGAAGTCTTTCTCCTTATCCAATATGCAACCTTTTCGATCATGATCAGGAGATATTACTTATGATAAGTTAGATTTATCTCCTTCACGTGCATCTCACATGTTTGGGTTGATCACGACTGTGCTTCACAAGATGGACCTGGTCCATGTCTGAGTTCTTTTGTCAGTCTTCAAAACTTCACATTTACTTGGGCCAACATTTGTAAATCAGCAGCCAATGTTGAGACTGATGTCATGTTTGGTACAGTTATATAAGGTGTTATGTTTGTCATGAGTCATTTTAGTTTTGTTTTCCATTTGTTTAAAGATTGGTATGCCTGTGCAAGAATAAGTGTAGAAATCAATGTGGGATTTAGAGAGTCCCATTATTGTCTTCTAAGATAAATTATTAAGTTTAGGTCCAAATGGAGGGCAATAGACTCAATGGATTTGTTTATATTACTAACCTGAAGTGGTTAGGAATTGAGTTGTAATTGTTGTTGTTATTTAAAATGTTAAATGGTTAATAACCTGCATACCACTTTTCCATCAAATTGATTGCTCTGTGGTAGAAGTAGATATAGTAATAATAGGCTTAAACGTTTACAACTATGTGGAACTAGTACAATTTCAAGTAAGCATTTGCATCCCTCACCTATCACACAATTTAATTCGGGTCGAAAATATAGCTAGATTCTGTTTCATATTTTGATCATGATGTTCAACCAGTACTTTTTTGGTTGCCTTGTTTAAATCTGAGGATTCCTTTTTCTTTTACCAATATTAAATTTCCTCGTCTCTTCTTCATGGCAATTTTCTTGTTTATATCTTTTTCCTTGGCTTGATATTAAGATGTTACATTTGACATGAATAGTCGGTGGGTGCAGGAATATGTTGTTGGAGCAACTCTCACAATTACCTCATGTGCCTAGTGTTCCATTTCAAATGACACCTTTCACAACAGAAGTTCCAGAAGAGGTCAGCTCTAGTTCATCTTCAACATCATTTGATTTTCTATATATGTTACCCGACCTGATCCCCGTTTAACTACTTTTGTATGCAGAGAGAGGAAGATTTGGATCAAAGGCCAACACCACGGATATGGAAGAGACAAGACTTTGAATCTGATACCGATGAAGATGAGATCAATTTCTGTGCTCTCGCACTTGTATGAAAATTTCTTTTACGCTTTTTATTTGTGTGCATCCTTTTACACCCAACTTACAAAATAGTGGAATAGTTATCCCTGGAAAATGACACATGACATGCGCTTGAGGGAAAATAACTAAGTGCTTCAACAGTACACATTAAAAAAAAAAAAAACTATATTTGAAGCCTTATTAGAATGACAGGCGTGACGCGTCCATCCTTTTCCCTTTTTTCCTTCATTTTCCTTCTTGTTTTTCTTTATGTTTCTTTGTTTCCCTTCTCAGTGCTAAAAACGTTTTCCCAACCCCAATAATATTCCGATGCTGTTCTGTTTTTGTAGTTTTATGTTTTGGCAAATTACTAAATTCTCTTTGACTGAACTGAATTGCTGTGGCTTGTTATGCAGTTAAAGTTGCGTCAATCATTAATCAAAGATGAACATGGTTGATGCACGCCTTAGTCCAAAGCTCTCTTCAACATGTTGCGTATCAGCAGATAATGAAACGTTAAACTTTCCTCGCACTTTTATTAACAAGTACATGCACAACTATATCCTGATCTTGCTCCATTCGGGTTAATCAGTTTAGTTAGAATTGTACAATTGACTCATCTGCTCATACTAAAGAGATTGTACTAGGGGAGGCTTGAATATACTGATAGAACTTTGTGTATTTTGTGAATAGAGATTTGTGCATAGCATTTGAGCCTTTTCGCTCATCTTATAGACTGGGTGAAGCCTGAAATACATGCAGGGGGAATTTCTTTAGTGGTGTTTTGTTTGAAAAAAGCAAGTTTGAGATTTTTGGAAAATCTAGTTTATGGAAATAGTGTGTGATTCAATTCTTTTTTGAAAAAGATGTCCAAAAATAACTTTGCTTTTCGATTTATGCATATGTGTATCTTTGAAGCAGTGTCATCAGTTTCACTCAGAAAAAATTAGCATCGTATTGTTTAATGCCATGTTAATGGATCTACAGGCACAAAATTTCTCTGCTAATTTTAGTAGTTCTCCTATACTAATCAGAGCATGGTCAACATTTTTGCAGGGAAGAAGTGTCTTGCTAATTCTATTTCTGAAAATTTACTAGTTATAGAACAAATCGTTGACAGTACAATGATGGGTCAATGTGACAATTCGAATATTATTCAAGGTTCTTGATATAATGAAACACTATTAATTCATCAAAAATGGTATACATTCATTATAAGCATAGTGAAATCCGTTTATATTTAAAGGAAAAAAATCAATGAAGAACTCGAAAATTGTACTTAAATTTGGTAATTCTTTCAAAACGGTCCCTACTCCATGTTACAACGTACGAACGATGATTCTCTAAGTTCAGTTTTTCTAACCATATATATAGCAAGTATTTGGAATATATGGATATTTTACCAATTCTCCTAGTTCTAAAGCTAATGCCCATTTAGTCAACCCAACGAAGTTAGTATATGCAATGCATAATGCATGTGTCTCGTTTTAAAATTGACTACTCATATGTTTAATTTAATTCCCTATTTCTGTTGACATAAGTGAAAGATTGGAAATTCTTTTTACAAAATTTCAAGAATAACTTCCACAAACAAGCATTTGTGTTTGAGCTATATTTGAATGATCAAGTGGAAATTTTGGAGTCTCCTTCTGCTACTAACATTTTAATGGAAATACATGTACTACTTGTTTTCGGATCTTAATAGAGCATCCCGTTTATTTACACGATTTAAGATATTCGGCCTCTCTGTTTTAATCAGCTTCATGGATTGTTGTTCGTAATCAGCTGATGTCCATCCCTTTCCATTCCCTTCTTTCTCAACTCTCAAAGCTGAAGCTTACCATCCCAAGAACCAAAGAGCTTCACGCTTTAATAATCAGGACTCATCTCTCATGCGACCCATTTTACGCTACAAGAATTTTGAGGTTCTATGCTCTAAACGACGACATCATCTCAGCTCGCAACCTGTTTGATAAAACTCCCCATCGAAGTATTTACCTATGGAATTCCTTAATTCGAGCTTATGCTAGAGCCCACAAGTTTACAGATGCATTTTCTCTGTTTAAGGACATGCTTTATTCCGAAATAAAGCCTGATAACTTCACTTTTGCATGCCTTGTTCGAGCCAGCTCTGAAAATTTTGATGTGCACAGCTTGAGAGTTTTCCATGGAGCGGTTGTTCTCTCTGGGTTGCAGTGGGACTTCATATGTAGTAGCCAACTGGTAAGTGCTTATTCAAGATTAGGTTGTATAGCTGATGCAAGCAAGGTGTTTTCTGGGATAACCGATCCTGATTTGGTCTTATGGAATTCAATGATATCAGGTTATGGTTGTTTTGGAGAGTTGGAGAAGGGGCTAGAATTGTTTAGCAGAATGCAGAGAATGGGGTTCAGGCCTGATGAGTACACAATGGTTGGCCTGATTATAGCTATATATGATCCTAGTGTGCTGAAAATAGGTGAATCAATCCATGCATGTTGTCTAAAACTTGGTGTAGAGTCAAATTCTCATATAAGCAGTCTCCTTGTTAGTATGTATTCTAGATGTAAATGTATGGGTTTAGCTTTTAGAGTTTTTGAGAGTCTTTTAGAACCTGATTTAGTTACATGGTCTGCAATAATAAGCGGTGTTTCGCTGTGTGGGAATAGTGTCAAGGCCTTGGATTTCTTCAGAGAAATGAATATGAAAGGTGGGAAGGCGGATCCACTGCTGATAGCCACTATACTAACTGCTTGTTCTCAATTGACAACTGTGCGGCCAGGCAGCGAGGTGCATGGTTATTCTTTTCGACATGGATGTCACTTGGAGGTTATGGTCTCCTCTGCTCTAGTTGACATGTACTCAAAATGTGGATTCTTGGAATTGGGATATCAAGTTTATAAGACTATGACTTTCAAGAATATTGTTTCAATCAATTCAATTATTTCAAGTCTTGGTTTATATGGACTTGCATCTCAGGCCTTTCAGATATTTGAGAAGGCACTGGATGAAGGGCACAAACCAGATGAAGCTACTTTTTCCGCGCTCTTATGTGCATGTTGCCATGCTGGTCTTCTTAATGATGGTCGAGAATATTTCAGAAGAATGAAAGATCAATTTGGCATCCCAGCTAACACCGAACATTATGTTTACATGGTAAAGCTTCTTGGAATGGAAGGACAATTGAGAGAAGCTTATGAACTTGTCCAGTCTCTGCAGGAACCAGTTGACTCTGGCATTTGGGGGGCACTATTGTCATGCTGTGATGCTCATAGAAATTATGAGTTGGCAGATATTATAGCTTCTCGTTTTTTTGGTAATAAGCTACAGAATAGTCGTTACAGAGTTATGCTTTCAAATATGTATGCCAGTGATGGGAGGTGGGATTTAGTAAATAAGTTGAGAGTGGATTTAGGATCAACAGAGTTGAAACTCGCTGGAAAAAGCTGGATTTTTAGTATAAAACCATTTCCGTGAAAGGAATTCTTGAGGTGTCTTTGCTACATATTTCATGGTTCACTTTGTTGAATCTGGGATCAGAAGCTGCGACTGAGGTAGGATCAATCTAACTTTCTCGTCATGAAAAGGAAATTCTATCGTGTAACTCCAAAACAAATGTCAAAAGAAGATGAGTTTAACCCATTTTGTGCTTAACTAAAATGATTTTAACAAGTTATGGAAGGTTCATCTCCTCACTTCTGTTACTTCCAAGTTTTACCATGAATAATCTTTGGCTACAAACAGTTGTGATCATGTTAAACATATGTTTCAAACAGCCGATTAAGACATGATAAATGAAACATATATACAGCTAAAACATACAAGGAGCTGCTAACAATCTTTGTTGCCCTGTACTATATTGATCAGGTACGTATTGCTCTTTGGTGAATGGATGACAAATATCTTTTCTCCTTTTGGTTTCTGTTCTATGATCGTCAAACTGGTGGCCACTTTGATTTGCTCAAGTATGGTTAGAAATGGTATTCATTTCATCATGTAAAATTTACACAAACTAATCTGTGAAATTGTCCCCAGGGTCACAGAAAGTCTAATGGGCAGAATGCAGAACTGGAATATTTAGGTAAAATAGAGGGAACCAGAACCTTTTTTGTTTTGTTTTTTGTCTTCTTTTGGGAGCCTGGATAACCTCTCTCCATAATATGGCATTTCCATAGGTAACTCGTACAGGCTGTCGATAATGTCTCACTAAATCTTGATCATTTGGAGTGTAGATTAAATTTTAGCTTCTGTATCTGAAGGAAGTTTTCTGTTTGAAGGGATTTGCTTAGTATGCGTTTAAGAGAATAATGATCTTGCTAATTAACCCGACAAGTGTAATGCACCGTGAAGATGACTCTATTGAGCACATTTATATTGCTGTAGATTTTCAAATATTAAAGGAGTATGTGCGTATCTGTTGTTATTGACATCTTTTAGACCATTAATGCAAGTCATCCAGAAATGTCTCTTACATGGTGCAGGAAGTACATTGACTGCAGGCTGTCGTTCTCCTGGCCTCAGGTATCATGTGTTTCAAAGTCCTATCAGAGGTAGCAAAGTTGTGTTTGCAAGCTTCAAAGGCTCCGAATGATGGGCAGGGTGTTCTTTGTAAATGTGATATGATAAATAGTGGTAGCTTCTGACTTTTCTAGAGGACAAAGGGCATGTTAAGGAGTGACATTTAAGTTAAGAACCGGACGTGGAATAGCTAGGAATACGAATGCCAGGGATCATACTCAGGATTGGTTTCTCATCACTCTTATTCCTATTAGATTCTATCAATTATATCATCAACTTACCTCAATCTGAAACTAGCTGCTCCCACTAGATTCTATTGCTATAAAAGTTGAACAATATATGCATGCGTAAATAGTTTCGGTGAGTCTTTTGGTGCGACTTTAATGCCATTCCATTCTCAAATGCAATCATTCATATCTTTTGTTGGACATTTTCTTGTCTTTCCCCTGGCAGTATGTTAAATCTTGCTAAACTTCATTTATAACAATTGAACCTTTTTTTCGGAAAATTCTTAAGAGTCTAAGACTGAAGTGCTAGACATGCATTTTTCTTCAATGTGGTATACTTACTAAAGGAGTCCAAGTATGTTTGTACACTATATATTGTAAACTGCTGATATAATTCAGTAGGCTGTCATTTGATTATATGACCAGCTGCTCAGTCTGTACTGCCTTAGATGTCATTTTAGTTTTCTTACTGATTGGTATTAGAATATTGCAGAAACAAAAATTATATATGAGGTTTCTACTCTACTAAAATGAAAACGTGTGAATGTGTTAAACACCGTAAACTGATACAAAGTAGGTCTCTCAGATTCTATTCTCCCAGTGCCCTGGCACTTACTGATCAACTTTTGTAGTTGCAACAATTAAGATGCTTTTCATCCGTTTTGCAGGAGAACCTTGATGGTTTAAGCAATCCTGGATCACAAATTCAGGTACCTGAAAATTTTGCTACTTCAAGTGAAAAAGCATCACGGGCTGGAAACAGCTCTCTTCCATAAAACAGGATATTTGGTGGCTTCTATTTGTTCAGTTGTATTTGTGTGTATCAAAGTTGCTTTTTAAGGACCCAAAAGTATTTATAAGGGGGAAAAGTCCAGAACATTATGGCTACTCAAAGCATCAAAGCAACAGCTTATACTTGATATTATAATTATTCTGCTGCAGAGCTGGTACCTATGTTGTATGTTATGACATTAATAGTGAGATCCACGTAAGTCGTAATGGTCACTTACTTGAACCCCGGAAGGCAATACTCATGCATTGTAGAAAGAACATTTCCTGATGACTATAGAGGAACCTCTGATGAGTATCATCAGAAGAACAAGTGAATAAGAATTATCAAGATGCATACATTTAGTATTTAATTATAGATCTTTGAGGTTATATTAGAAGAGTTGATGCTACAGAAGTATGGGATGGCCCAAGGAAAATGGCCTATTTCAACAAGTTGTGTAAAGTTGAAATTTATTTCTGTCAGTCTGCTCTTATTACTTCTGTAACTACTTAGCTAAATGGTTATAGTTGCTAAGTTATCCTTTTGACTGCTTTCTTTTTGTGTCAATTTTCTGAAGAAGTACACGAGTAGTTCTTCTTTTCAGGGTGAGAGGATTACCATATATTTCCATCCTTGTAAATGATATTTCTTTGAAATGATCTAATGGTAATAATTGGGAGAATTAATTCTTCCATTAAGTAACTTCTGAACCAAATCTGCCGAGGATAGCTTCTTCTGTTATGCCATAACCTAACGTTCTGTTGTTGTTGGAAAGAGTTTGCTGATATGGAATATAGACGCAATAATTTGACAATATGCTTGTGGTACTATGAAATCGTAAAACCAAAGCTTTCTGACATTTACTTTCGAGCTTGTTGATATAGTTTTTCTTCATGTTTACTTTCTGAGGCAATAGGAACAGTGTGTCTCAAATCAAATGGTGAGGCTGAAATCAGGTCACAAGTTTAACTATCACTAAGGACATTTGTGGATTTTCCTCTATGCCATATCCGTTATGTTTTTCATTTTCTGAAAGTTAATGTTTAATGTTATTATTTTCTATGCTTGTTCATTATGAAATTGAAAGATAAACCAAAATAATCTGGAAAGGTTGGAATGATTGTTGAGACCAGTAATATTCTTTTTTCTCTAGAATTCAGAACTCTCGGTGCTAGAGTCTTGACATCCTATATCCTTGAAAGCAACCTTAGCTTGAGGCTCTTAGGCTAGAGAGACCATGCAGGTGTGAATCTCTAACTCAGTTTAGAAGTTGGTAAGTGGTAACCTAGGAGGCTTTGTGCAAGTCCATGAAAAAGGAAATGATCAGTTTTGAAGACTATTTCAAAGACCATGAATCTATTGAATTCACTGTGTAACACCAGACTTGCTACAAGTTAGGCAAAATCATACTCTAGTACATAGGGTAGGCTAATGAATTTTCAAAAGCAAATGTTACAAAATTGAAGATGTAAACTTTTTGGTGTCCTTTTCCTCTTCCTTTGTCCTTTGAGCTGTAAAAACATTTGGGTGATGTTAGGAGTAGCTATTTGTTAGCATCGTCAACAAAATCGATGGAGAATCAGGAAGTCTCGGGTTCAAATTTTAGAAAAGACAAAAAAATACTACTAAGTTATTTCTGTATCATCTATATAAGCCTTGATGAACAAAGTTATATGATACATGTATTGGTGGGGTAACAGGTACTCGGTGGATTCAAGGTGTACGCAAGCTGACTCGAACACCATCATTATTAAAAAAAAAAAAAAAAAGAAGTAGCAAGTTGCAATATTCTACTGGCGGAGGCAGCTGTCAATAGGAAGTGGGATCGGTATGTCTCCTAACAAGCCATTGTTTCTACACAAAATTACTAGTTAGACAGGAAAAATTCTTCTCTGGTTGTGGTGATCCTTATTTTGTCTTAAGCAGTAGACCTAAAAGCAAGTAATATAGCTGAAGCCCTTACTCCTACATATTTATCACTGGATCAGACAAGTGTTGTGGCTTGAAATGAGTGTGGATACATATGGTGTGTATTTGTTTTCGGTCTTACTTTATTCTTTTGGAAGTCTCATCTCCCAAGTACTGTCATGGGCGGCTGTGCCCCATGACCCCTTGGGCGCGCCCCGTGGCGTCCTAGCAAGCCTTCCAATGCCTAACGCCACGGACGGCCCCGTGGTCTTGGCCGCGCCAAGTGACAAGCGCGCATGTGCCTCTGTCGCCCCACCGATATCCCTCGCCAGCGCCCAATCGTAGGCAGATGCCAACAGTACCGCGCACGCAGACAACGCCGCGCGCGCAGACCCTGATGCCAAAGACTATGCTGCTGACAACGGACCTGTTTTCTGCCTTATAGCAAACTAAGTCNGAGCCAAAGCCATACAGTGGAGCTAGGAATGCCAAGGAAGTGGAGAACTTCATCTTTGATGTCGAACAATATTTTGATGCTGTTGGGGGCCTAGAAGAAGCTAAGAAGGTAGCAACTGCTGCCATGTATCTTCAGGGTGATGCTAAACTCTGGTGGCGGGTGAAATACGAAGCCATCAAGGCTGGTGAAGATGCTCTTAAAACATGGGAAGAACTGAAGGCAGCCATACACCTACAGTTCTTCCCCGAAAATGTTGAATACAATTCAAGGAGAAAGCTACGGGAGCTCCGCCAGACCAAATCCGTGCAGGACTACGTGCGGAAATTCTCCGCGCTCATGCTAAGTATACGCGACATGGGGGACAAAGACAAGCTCTTCACTTTCCTAAAAGGGCTGAAACCTTATGCCCGTATGGAGCTACAAAGACAACGGGTAGATACCCTGCCCAAGGCGATCCAAGCAGCTGAATGCCTTGGGGACTATCAAATGGAAGCTCGGAAGGATAGCCCTCAGCCACCTGCTCGAGCGGGATTCAAAGGGGGCCAANTTTCTGTAATAGCTTTCATTAATGCAATCAAGCTTTCTTTCATTCTCAATTCTCATTCATGTTCGCTCAATTGCTCTTGACATTGGTTTTCCCGTACGGCACTGACAATATAGTCTAGCGTACGGAGGGGATCTCAGTTGGCGGACAGCAACTGCACTGACATCAGTTGCTTAGCCTTACGTCGCTATTCCAAGGAATCTCAGGAAGGCATCGCGTAACAGTTGGTATCAGAANAGGAAGGCGCCGCGTAACAGTTGGTATCAGAGCCTAGGCTCGACATCGGACGAGGGAACGCATTGCCATTACCACCATTTCTGACCATGGTGAATCATGGGGACCGCATTGCGGCCCTTGAACAGACGGTTGACGGATTACTGCCCATCATGGATAAGGTGCCTGAACTAAGAACCAGCCTAGGGCAAAGGTTGGACGACCTGGACCGCAGGGTGCTCCAGGCCGAAGTTGACATAGAAAACATCAGTCGTGACTCCGAGGGAGCCCGGCAAACGGCAGCCACAGAGGTAGTCGAAATTTTTGGCAAATTCGAGGGACTCTAACAGGAGCGTGCCGA